CAGGTTCCATATTCAGTTCAATGAACCGATAAGTATTCTACCAGTAGAAAATCTAAGATAAAATACAGCGTTAAGTGAAAACAAAATTTCAAATAAACTGTTGTTAAAGGACCATTTTTTTGGTGAATGTGTGAAAAATCTAAACCAAGAGGTAGTTATGTAAGGTTCTCCAAAAAGCCTCTAAGCAATTAGTACACTAAGCTTGTAAAGAAGTAAACCTATGAACTGAGTCATTCCTCAGTCTAATCCATTCTACTTTAGTTAGTATACAAATACTATTCAGTAACAGTAAATAATACTTGTACTTTTTTACTAAGATACGCACATATTACTTAATGCCTTTGCTTTAGGCCTACTGTATTGTAAACAATAAATTGTAAATTAACTATTGTTTAGCTAAATAATGTAAATTTGCAATAATTTTTGTGCTTTGTAAATTCTAAATTCGTTTTATAATTTTTTTATAAATGCATACTTCCTCACCGATTTGTCTTCCATTTAGTGCACAAAAACACAAGATAGGTGTCCCATTCCCGTTTATGAAACGTATGTTAGAAGAGGGTATTTCTTATTTACGAAAATGTATTTGTAGTCAAATTTAAAAGGTTATAGTATGTTCCTAGTTTAGTTGCTTGTGGTTTTATTCTTCGGTGTAAGGGAACAGGTTCAGTCTTTTGTGCCGCCATATAAAAGCCTTACACAATTTCACTGGCTAAAAAATATAAAAAATAATTCAAACAAAACAAAAAACCTTGGTATATTTGTTACTCACACAAACTGGCTATCTAGACTTCCTCTGGTGACAGCCATGCATCACACATATACTCATGCGCCAACGCATGCCAAGATAAGTTTCTTACTATCGCTTGTATGTGGAAATCAGAATGAACCGATATGATAATCACAGTGACGGTGTGACCAAGGTCTTTGTTTACTGTAGAACAGGTTTGGCGTGACGTTAACACAGTTTCTGTGGATGTTGATGACCCGATGACGTAATGGGGGCAACCATTGGCCAGGTAGGCGGAGGGTCAGGAGACAGGTTCCATCGTACAGACTATAGTACTATAGTAACGTTGTGGCCATTGGCCATTGCCTTATGTTTTTGGTGTTGTGACGTTGACACGGTTTCTGTGGATGTCGAAGACCCAATGACGTAATGGGAGCAGCCATTGGCCAGTCCCCAGACAGGTTCCATCATACAGACTATAGTTCCGAACCATCAAGCTGCTGACTTTACTCAGAATTGGGAGAGTTCTCCTCCTCGGGTACTATGTACTTAGCTCGTTTAGTGTGCATTGCGTGTGTAAGAGTGTGTTAGTGTGAGTGTGTGTGGGTAGTTATCCTGACCTTGGCCCAACGAATCAGCGACGCCTATCAACAAACCTGACGTTTGTCTGACCACTCTGCCCAGTGGCTGTCCTGTCAAAACTGACCTCACACCAGCAAATTAAATGCCGTATTTGTACCCAATTACGGCTTTATAAGCTAAAAGAAAACTTAGGCCTACACAAAGACGTGTAATTATATTGTGAACTGATAACTTGATAAACATCAATGGACGTGGACTGAAACAATCACTTAAAAATAAATCAAATGATAAATACTATGTTTACTTAATTTGTTGAACCCAATTGAATTTTCCATATCATAGCAGCCATGATGAACTAGTATTGCACCTATATTGTGCGCTGTTTTGAAATTGAGGTGTGTGCTGTAGTTTGTGCTACTGAACTGGTATTGTTGACTTTTATACTGTGGTGCTCTGCTGGTACTGTGACACTGATATTTTGGTGCATTCTACTGATATTGTTGTCTGTACTCTTCCAGTTGCACAGCACTGATATTGTGTGGCTTTACTAGTACTGTGACACTGATATTGTGGTACGGTAGCATTGCACTGATATTATTTGGTGGTACTCTGCCAGTTGTACAGTACTAATAGTATGACTTGTTCTGATATTGTAATGCTTTACTGGTACTGTGGCGCTGATATTGTTCCATTATACTGATATCGTGGTGCTGTAACATTGAACTGATATTGTTGGCTGTACTCTACCAGTATCACAACTCTGATAGTGTGGATTGTTCTGATATTGTGACTTTACTGGTACTGTGGCACTGATATTATTGTTGCATTCTACTGATATTGCGGTACTTTAACAATGTACTGATTATTAGTTGTACTCTGCCAGTTACACAGCACTGATAGTGTGGATTGTTTTTGATATTGTGGAAATTTTTTTGGTATTTTAGCTTTATTTTTGTTGCATTCTACTGAGATGCGGTACTGTACAGTGTACTGATATTGTTTGGCTGTACTGTACCATTTCCACAGCACTGATATTGTGGATTGTTATGATATTATGGGGCTTTGCTGGTACTGTGGCGCTAATATTGTTGCATTCTACTGATATTGCGGTACTGTACCATTGCACTGATATTGTTTGGTGGTGCTCTACCAATTGCACAGTACTGATTGTGTGGATTGCTCTTATTATGTAGGCTGGTATTGTGGCACATCAGTGATACTGTGGCACTTTAGTGTGGTATTCTACTGATAAAGGTGGCGCTGTGCTGCGGTAATGGCATGTAATACTGCGACGTCGTGCAACAATCATTGGCCAAGAGAGAAAGTATCCAATCGCGAGGCTCAGTAACTAGTCATTCGTCAACAGTGCGGCAATAATTGGCTTTACCACGGCCACAGCTGCTTGATAGAGTAAATAATGCCATCCTGCTGACTACGCAAATTTCTATTTATTGGCTGGATATAGCCCACACTTAAATATTCCCTTAATTGTTATATTTATTTCCTATTCAAACAACATAAATTTTAATGAGTACTCAGGTTTGCTGCAACCGGGAAGGTAATAAGGGGTTTTAATCTAAGTTTCAATAGCTTAGTAAGGAATAATCAAAATAGCCAAATTTGATTAAAATATATCCATAAACAAGCAAACTAAAGCAGTTTATTTTTTATCCGTAAAAATAATATGGGGATTTTTTATTTACATTATTTTTAGAATTTTCTTCGTAGCCTAACCAATAGCCATACAAAAAAGCTTCAGTATACTAAATTATTATTTTTTAAGCTCTTTAAAATAGTTTAATAGGGTCAATTGGAAAATTTTGTTTTTTTTTTGTTGGAATTGGGAAACCCCAATTTTCACCCAAAAAATCCCCCATACAGCCAGCCCCGTTCCCATGGTCCGATCATGCTGGTTCACGAACTTATTCAAGTTCATCCCGCCCTAAACCTTCTAACTATTTAAAAAAACCAAACAATTATATTTTTATAAGATAGAGTTTTAGGTATACATGTATAACTGTATTGATTAATTACTAATTTGATCTTGTATGCACATAGAAACAACATTATTGTTCTCTGTGGATTTAATTTGGTACTTACAAAAACAATCTGTTGTTGAGAGGTTGACAGGATAAAAATTAAAGTTGAACAGTAAAAATCCTAATTTTATCAAATTAAAAACTACTCAAAATCAATAAGTAGGTAGAAATAGTAATAAGAAATTAAATCCACACTAAGAAATTACACAAATTAAAGCCATAGGTAATTAATTAGATTTTTCTTTATTTTAATAATTAATTAATTGTATCAGCTGATTGCAGATACACAATTTTGTGAAGACCTTATTATCTTGTTCTTTATCTTCTCTCAACAATGGAATTGTCATCTGTGGTACTCGACTGTTTAACCATGTGTTATGCTATGGACTGTCGTTTCTACAGGAAAACAGCTGTTTTTGCAAACAAGACGTAGAAATGTAAACATGATCTAACATATTTGCCATTTCGCACAAATTGTTTAGTTTTTTTTTAACATCACATGTTTTATGTATTTGGGTTTTGACTATCGACATTGTTGTTGGTAATTAATTGACAAAGATAACGAAAGATTGATTATAATGTTTTCATCCTTTAAAACTCCAAGGAAAATGTATTTTTCTTGATATTTTTTTTATTACGAAACCATTTTTTTAGCAGGACAATATTCTCTGACATTTTTAACTTTTACTAACTTTGATAGGTTTTAAAATATACTGCAATTAAACTACCCGAAAACGTATTTTCACCAAATTTAAAATTCTTTTAACCTACTGCACTGTACATAATTTTTTATGATTCATAAGAATGACTTTGTTTAACATGGTTTAACTATTTTACTTGCAAACATGGTATCTGTATCATGTTTAACATAAAGCTACATAAAGCTATTTCCTAAGTAATCTGAGTATTTATCTTTATGCCTTTCAACTACAGTAATTCAGTACACGTACAAATCTTTTTCCTTGAAGTGTAGCATGTTTGAATCTCCCATTTCCCATTTCTCACATCTAAATATATTTTTTTTTTTCAGGAGATTAGCTCTTTGAATTAATCCTCTGACAAATTTAATTGAGATAAGAAAAAACAAATCCATTGAAATTTATATCCAATCCCCTCAAGGCCACATTGGACCAAGTAAATTAAAAAGTTAAAATTTTGAAGCTATTCTGGTTCAAATCAAAAACACCTTTATTGCTATAAAAATAGCAAGAACATTGCATGAGTCAAATACAATTAATTACACGCCAATATAAGGTAAACAAACAAAAAATAAACCTCTAACAAAAATCATACTTAAAAATCATGGACACTATAAAACACTCCCTCTAGTAAATTATTCTTAAGCCCCCTCCAAAACTGTAAATTGCACATTTTAAACATCAAACTGTTAGAACCCATTGTTGAGCTTGACAGCAAAGTGGCAAATATTTAAATTATTAAACCGACATAAGCTTTCAAATTTGGGTGTTGTTTTTTAACGATCTGTATATCAAGATGTATTGAAGGTGAGTAATTTTATCTGTTAATATGTATTTTAAAAAACACAATAAATTGAAAAAAATTCTGATTAGTGACACAACTTCACAAAAAATTAAATTTAAAAAAAAATGTGCATTAAAAAAATATTCTTATAAAGTGATAGTACATACCTTTTGTACGTTGTGCCTTCAGCATGTACCGTGGCTACCTTCACTTCTGTACCGCACACCGCACTATAGAAGACTATACTGATACCGATAGCAGCCAGACACCACCTACCCCCACCTAACACCTCGGCATTGGCGAACTACATCGCGTTTTTTGTCCATCGAACTTGACTTGAACCGGCGGCGAAATGACGTCATTGTAATTGCTAGAAGGATGAACGTGGTTTCGATTTCAAAGGCCGCGTTTTTTTCTGCATCGAGGACTTTTGGGAGGTGTTTTTGGTTAGGTGCAAAGTTGGATTAGTTGACATTGTGGTTAACAAGATTGTTACTTTTTTATGGGAATTTATTTTGAGAATAATAACAAATAGCTTTAAGGCTACATGCGTTGTAATCAGGGCTTGGTCTCGGACTTTAAGGGGAGACAAATTGGAACGGCCTCCCCGGAATCTCTGTTTGAATGTTTAAGATTTAATAATTATAAGATAAAGTAAAAGCCTAAGTGTGGGCAAGCTACCACATACATTCTCCCATTAGCTTGTCAACAAAAATAATTATAATGGGTTAGCGATAGGAATAAGTATAACAATGGGGAAACAAAAAAAATAGATATAATTTTTAACCAAACTATTACAGCATATGGGGTTCCACATTTTGTTAAGAATTAAAAGGACCATAACACGTTAAATTCTAATCAAAATTGATTAAGACGTTTTCGTGAAAATCTCCTTTTACCATTATTGTGTGTAGTATTATGAAAAACACGAATTAAAAAATTTTAAATCGAAGGGATCTTCTCGAGGTAAAATAGAGTAGTGCCCACATACAAAATGTTAGCAAAATCGGACTACAGGTGTAGTCTGTAACCCTGTACACACCAACAAACAAACGTAATAAGCACGGACAACTTCGAAAACAACTTGTTAGAGTTCAAGTGGACATAAAAAGGATATTTTAACTCAAAAATAAACTCTAAGATGTTGCCGAAAACAATACCTTTCTCCATACACTATGTATGGAAAAAGTAAAAACGAATTGTACCACACATTTTTTACTTTATTTGTACCTAAGATATATTGCATTACAAAGCGGGAAAAAGTTAAATAGTGTTTATTAAGTATTTAGTATTAATTATTAGAAGACACCATTAGGTACAAAAGTAAGCTTCAGTTTCCTAAAATTCTAGAAATCTATAACTAATTATTATTTCATACCAGAGAAATACAAATGCAATGAGTAACTTTAAATATTGGTTCATATTTTAATTCATTGACCAATCTCCAGAAAGAAATAAACACAAGGAATTGCATTTATGCATAAATCGTTGGTTATGATCAAACAAAAAACCGTCCTGTTCCCCCTTTGTTTACGGAGCTAACATGTGTTAGCTTATTTCCGCTTAACCAATGAGTTGTAACAAGTTACGTCAGAATCGGCATGTCGAGATTAAACACGTTGAAACGAAGTGACGTGGATTGTTTCGGAATATTCGAACATTGGTAAACTTCGTATAGCTTTTGGCACTGATTAAGCTCTTTAATCTTGGGTATTTTTATTTTTTGGGAATTTCTATTTTAATGGTGAGGAAACACAAAAAATTACATATTTTTTTCTCAAAACGGGTGGATCTGTTTTGTTTGATCACATTTTATTAAGTTTTTAACTCTAACCAAAACGGTACAACAACCCCCCAATTCTGTAAAGATTACGGTTCAAAAGTTATTTAATTTTTTGTGATTTTACCCATGCATAATTACTTCCATCGCTTACTCATTGTAAGGTTTTTTTACAAGCTAATATGAGAAAGCATGTTTGAGTTTGTTGATACAGTTTATTTTATTTAAAACGTTTTTATTAGCTTGCTTTCTTGTATGTTCTATACAAATGCAGTTCTGTTCTGCAGGCATGTTCTGTTTGCAATCGATTTAAACTAACTTCCCGATGAGTTAGACTTGAAACTTGAAACAGTTGAAACATTGCTTACAAATGGATGACAATTCAATATTATACCATTTAATTTTCATATTTCCCTTGGGCTACTCCCCATGGGCTTCCAAATTTTCAATGTTTACATTTTGGAAGAATTCAAATAGTCAATTAAGTCAGCTGTAAATACTTTTGACAGTTTGTTCAAAGAGCAGATGTTTAGAGGTACAGGTTCTGCTCTCGAGAGGTTCTAAAAATATAAAAAAAAAATTCAAAGTAAAGACAAAACATCTGATTACAGATAAAAAGGTTTTGGTTATGTAAAAGGACACATAAATATATTTAACATACTTACACATTAAAGGATAAAAAGTAGAAAATAATTTAAAATTAAAAAATCTTTTTAAAATACTATGTTTCTAAACACATTAACAATTAGAAAATAATTTATAAATATATGTTGGGAACAAATACTTGTAAGATGCAATAGATAATAATAGAGAGAACCGTATTCGTAAATTAGCTTTTTTCTGCGCCCAACATTTTTCGTTTTAAATCCCACAAGTACTGTATTTATTTGCCACACACATATTTGTAAATTATTTTTTTTAATTTTTAGTGCATTTATTTTTAAAAAGTTTTTTATTTTATTTTACTTAGTATCGAACGTACCACAGAAGAAGGACATAGCCTTAGGTATTTAGATTAAGGGTTGAAAAAATGAACAAATAAATAAAATATGGTTTAATATAGACAAATAATTATAAGTCACATTAGTATAATTACAACCAATGCTGACGTATAAGGTATGGTACATTTCATCACAGAATATAGACACCTGTCGATTCTTTAATATGTGATTTAATCATAGATTAAAACAATTTCAGTTCCTGTGATTTACAATATTATTACTTCAACAGATTTGTCTTATGCATTTTGTTACGGAAAATCCCAAATTTTAACCTCAAATCGTTTGGAGTAACATTCTGAACCTATTAACCTGATTTAATCTTCAACACAACAATGTACTCAACTATATCAGTGAAGGAAGTTTACAATCAGCTGTTTTGAATCAGTGTTTGAATTTACTTGGCGCCTGAGCAGTTTTCTTGGCCAAAATCCAACAACCCAGTCAAGGGTGTCAAACAAAGTGGGTACGAACTCGCCAACATATCACTAAAAACAACACAAAATCTTATTTATCTAAATTTAATATTAACACCTATACACTTATGGAAAAGAATCCCAAAATTACAAATTACTAAATGGAAAAGAATACAAGCAATTCGGATCCGAGGTAGTATTTTCCATACGGCTCGGATCTAAAGGGGGCCTCACAGGACATTATTTTCGTAAAAAAAATTTATTTCTTAGATAAAATCTGTTTGGGTTAAGTTTTTGATCCGAGCCTTTATTCTTACGATCGCCGAAAGCGTCTGCAAAGATTGCGCCATCGAAAATCACTATTTCACCGCGATCGCGGGAGACGATGATGATGTATCCGGAAGATCCGCAATCACAGATGTTAATTATCTTCTCCGTGAATTCAGGAGACGTACGTGATATTACAAGTGTAGCGCTAGTACGCTCACGATTTCATCGCCCAGAACTTTGTTTGTCTGCGATTGCAGAAGTCGTTGAAACCAATTGTACAGTAGTAGGCTACAGTATAACAATTAATATGTCTATATATTAATAGGCAAGCGTTTCTTTAAAACCTTTTTTCTCAGCTCGTGTGCATCGCAGGTAAAATCTACGCTTCCTGTTAGAAAGATATTTTCCTGTAGATGCGCAAAATCCCTTTATAAATTAAAATAGGCTAAAAAATGAGCAAAAAATGAATTTAAAATTTCAAAAAATGTACATGGGCATTTGGGTTGCCATGCTGGTGACGAAATAACAACATAATATAAACAGGAAATCTAAACAAATGTAAGAAATTCCAATCACATGTTTTATTTCCAGCGTGTGGAGAGAAAATAGGGAAGTCTGTAGATTACATATTGTTGGTCGAGTTTTCGACCACTGGACGACCTCTAGTTTTGTTAATTGCTAAGCTACTTTACAATGCAATTTGAATTTGACCTGACTCCATTTGGCCCGAAGTCAAACTAGTTTTCTTCTTATTTCCATGATGGTTCATTTTCCACAGAACTTCAAACTCAGACACAACAGTCATTTATTTTATAAACATGGCGTCATCAACAGTGAACTTTGGTAACATCACTCAAACTAGTTTTCTCTACATTTCCACAGAAAACATACAGTCTTTCTGTAACATTTCTAATATAAACAACAGCCCAGTTCGGCAGCGTGATTCGCAACTGACTGCTCTTCGCTCTTCGGCTACTGTATGGCAAGAGGGAGCTAAAACAATCCCTTTCAACCAATATAGTCCAGTCAATAAAGGTATTGTAGAGGACATGGAGAGGGGGAAATTTTTTTTCTGCGGGAATGTGTTCGGGGTTGTTAGAAGATAAAAATACCAAAAGTCCCCGCCCCTGGCTCTGCTGCTTCAGCGGGGGGAGGGGGGGAAAGACCCCATTTTTTAGTTTTTTATTTCTACACTGAAAACCGTGCGTCGTACGGAAAAAATGAAAATTATAAAAAGAACGATGATAAAATTCTCTACAAGAATGGTTATATTCATTTCTTATGTATATGCATTAGTTTTAGAGATATTCTCAAAATAATATAAAAATTATTTTCTAAATTGATTTTTTAGACATTTTTTTCTAAATAAATTCATGTAATCGATTAGCCTGCTGTTGTTTTACATTAGTAAGGATAGAAAACAGGTTTTGGAGCACTAACCTATATAATATAATATATCCATCGTATATATTCTGTTAAAAATAGTTTATATAAATTTATTTAAGTTATGTATTTTTGTCATGGAAACAAGTAATTTTGGCATAATTAATTATTACACTAAAAATGAAAAAGATTATGTTTGCAGCTACATTTGTCCAGGTTTATTTATAACAATTACCGAAACCAAGACTTTTAATACTATTGTTCATGATCTGACTCACTTGGGACGAGAGGGTCCGACTTCTGTCCCAAAAACAGATGCCATCTGGAACTGAAAACCACCATCTAGGACATTTCCATCATTCAATTCTTGTTGATTAGACTCAATATTGGCTATCGAAGTAATAATGCGGTGTAGGCTTATTAT